GAGAGCCTTGTTTGTCTTCAGCGCAGCATGTCTCTGGCCGTCAGGTGTGTAGTCTCGTTTTTATTCGGGAGGATGTCACGTTCTGTGGTGATGTGAGTAGGGAACTACAGGGTGGTCGAGCTCAGATTTGGGGATCTGCCTGCTTTTGCCAGAATGGCCGAGGTTTCCTGGGGAATCGGGCCTTTAGCGTAGTTTTTGACTGCTATTTGGGATTTGCATTAGACAACTTCGCATACCTGATTTTTTAGGGCCAGTGGAATATTGTTGCAATATAGAGAACAATAAAGCTCGCTCAGATTGGACGAAAATGACATGACTAGTCACCCCCTGGACAACTGCTAAAATTACTGTCAATATACCAACTATAAACTCGTGTGCCTCTGCACTCTTCTCGCAACATTTGGTGGAGGTGCTGGGTACAAGGATGGAACTTCGCAGTAAATGTCACGTTTCTGCCACTACCATGGCAAGCCGATCGCCAATGTCTTAGTCAGCGACAATGGCAAACCAAGCGTCAACGGTTATGCCAGTCGGAGCCACCTGCTGCTCGATGATCACACCTTCTCGCCCTACACGCCGAACCAGAGCATTATCGTCGGCAATTTCCCGCCAAGATCTTGCCACTTCCCGTCTTCTCCAGGCCATCGGACACGTTCACCGCTCATGCACCACTCTTCTTCCCCATCCACAGGCCGCTTCATTTCCGGAAACTAGGTAGCGCTTAAAGTGATCAATGGGTCTCTTTTATCTAGATGATGTGATCGTGTTTTTGGCAACTTTCGAAAGCCACCTGCAGCAACTCCTATCACCGCGTAGGGTGCCGCTTCTTCTGTCCAGGTCTCTATTCCTTTGTGCGACACTATGTCGCTTTTTGCGACCCGTGTTAGTGGCGAAAGACGCCTGCTTTGCCTCCTGCTGGTTCCGTTCAGCCAATTGAGGTGCCAACAGAGCAATTCTTCCGTGTGGGCCTCGACCTGCTTGACCCATTCCCTATAACTACGAAAGGCAACAGGTGTGTAGGCATGATTATCATCATCATCATTTCTCAATCACCGCACTGCATCTCTCGCGCAGCTGATGCTAGCTCGAGCTGCGCGAGGATTAGAACAAGCTCACGCGCCTAGCGGTTTCGACGTGGCAGCCACCGCCGCTCCATTTCAGCAATCGAATAAAGCAGAGAGTTTGACACGATCACGTAGGCCGCCGTCCTGTCTTCCTCTCTCGCTACATTGGTGACTCGGAGAACGCGCCCTTCGACGCGCCATCGGCTGCCGTGTTTCCGCCACTCCGCCTGCCAGTGCCGCCGTTCCAATCGACCTACCCCAAAGTATGGTTTATGCCGCTCGACGCTGTTCTTGCGGTGAATGGCAGCATGGACCGGCCGCTGATGCACGCTATTCTTCTCAATGCCCTTATGATGCCCACTGCACTGCGGTGCTCGCCCACAACGGCCACACGTACCGCCTGCTTCCTTTTACCCGCACCTGGCAGGTTTCTCAGGCATCGCAGAGCAAGGTACGAACCGGTCCACAGCCCTCCATTGGCCGCTACTTCGGTACCCCGCCTTCGACTACTTCTACCCCTGATCCGGTCGCAGAAACATCCACTCCTGCACCTGACTACGAGGTAGAAGATGCCCCCACTGCGATTTACCTCCTCTCCGAGAGGTACATTCCCTCAGAGCCCCCGTGCGCAGCTTCGTCGCACGTGCCTGCCACCTGCACGTCTTCCGTGACATCGACGGCACGCGACACCATGGCCCTACCCGACTTTACGATGGCTACCTGGCGGCACGCCTCGGAGTCTGGCGCAGACATTCTTCCGCCCGCTATTCACCTCCTGGTCGCGGAACCTTCACCATCCCCAATGTCAGAAGGAGACTCTCTATAAAGATAAATAAAGCAGCGAGTTTGACAAGACCACGTTGGCTGCCATCCCGTCTTCCTCTCTCGCTACAGGTGGATTGCCATTGTGACATATTATGCAGCAAGATACGCCATTGCACGAGCAATGCCGACTAGCTGTGCAACAGATGTTGCGGACTTTCTACTCCCCGATGTTACCCTTAGCCACACCACCCTTCGACAGTTACTAACGGATCGTGGCCGTTACTTATTGTGAAAGGTCGACGATGGCCCCTTCCGCTCCATAGCTTCCGAACACAAGATTGCTACCGCATACCACCATCAAACGAAGGGGCTCACCGAGCGACTAAACCATATTCTTAACTGACATGCTGGCCATGTACATTTCCGACGATCACCATGACTTTGTCCACCGCTTTACCGTACAATCATTTTGCTTACTATTCGTGCCATCACGAAAACACTCGATTTTCACCATTTTATTTTTTGTATGGCTGCGGCCCTGTCTTGCCGTTCGACACATTCCTACCATCTGGTGTCATATTCTAAACGACCAATTACGCCCGCGATGCAATCACTTCGGCCGCCCATGCCCGAGAGGTCGCTCGTCAAGACCTCGCAAACTTCTCAAAAGCAACGCTACGATCAGCACCAAGACACAATCGCCACTTGGTTCTCTTGTCCTGCTGTGGACGCCCTCACGCCGTGTTAGCTCGGCTTTAAAACTACTCTCTTGTTATTCTGGTTCGTACAAGACCTTAGGCCTATATTGTGACGTGGTATACGAAATCGCACCAGCTGACGTGTTTTTGCTACGTCACATCAACAGTGACGTTCATGTTGCCAGGATCAAACCATATATACTTTGCCTTAACTACGGTAATGCTCCATGATTTGTACCGGGATAGAGCTACGCTTGCTGAGAGGTTGATGTTGCACTAAAAAGAACGAGAAAGCTCGCTTAGATTGGAGGAAAATGGACCTGACTCATCACCGCCTGCGCAGTCACTTCACATACTGTCAAAACACCAACTCTGCACTCCTGTACCTGTTTTCTTCACGCAACAATATGGCTACTTCCTCTGCTATTTACAAATGTTCCACGTGTATGCTGCATGTAAAATTCAGCTTTGAAACCTGTCTATTATTACGACAGTGTAATTAGTACCCTTGTGATACTCGGTCACGTCAACAAAGCATGCATTTCACTCTCTGCCAAAAAAACAAAGCAAAGCCTCCGCTTTTTCCTTTCGTCGGCCTCTGTTGTAGTCGAGCCCTACCACGGTGGTCTAGTGGCTAAGGTACTCGGCTCCTGTCCCGCAGGTCGCGGGTTCGAATCCCGGCTGCAGCGGCTGCATTTCCGATGGACGTGGAAGTGTTGTAGGCCCGTTTGCTCAGATTTGGGCGCACGTTAAAGAACCCCAGGTGGTCGAAATTTCCGTAGCCCTCCACTAAGGCGTCTCTCACAATCATATGGTGGTTTTGGGACGTTAAACCCCACATATCAATCAATCTGTTGTAGTCGAGATGCACGTGTCCATGTGTACTAGCCGCTGCAACGGTGTCCCCAATTTTTGTGGAGATATAAATTTTCTGGCCATGCTGCTAGTAAATTATGCCTAGTATGTTCATGATTTGTTTTCCTATGGTGGTAGTTGACATGCATTGTGCTTGGGCTATTTCTTCCAAGGTGTTGTGTATACCAAGCTTGGTCAAAAGCTAGATGAAAATTTTTGGCTGTGCAGAAAGTGTCTTCATTGTAGGGGCTATCATGACATGTTATTGTGATACTAGATTTACCTGAAATTTGTTACATGTACTGAAGGTCTTGAATGTCCTCAGCTATTTCTCAATAAATCTAGTCAGTTAATTATGTGATAGACAATAAAGTCAAGTATATTTACATCGCTTAGCCGGCTCTTGTTCAGCTGTTGCCTCTTGCTTTCATTTTGTAGATCAAAGTTTCCGGCTGGGCTAAAATAGTTTTCGTTTCGTGGTCTCATGTGATACATTCTCTGATGCATTTTGTACCTGAAGTTTTACAAAAGACGCTTTGGAAACCTTGAGTGCCCCAGGGGAGTAGTGACTTTAGTAATGAATTATGTCAAACAAAATAAAACCTAATATTTTTTCACCAGGTTTATGTCACATTTCATGCACACTTTGCGACATTGAGTGAACAGTGAGTTTCTTACCTAGGCCGTGATTTTTCTACTCCAAACTACTCTATGCTATTTAGAAACATCGACACTGGGTGAGATACTGAACAATTCTTTATTTTCCTGCAGCTGCAGAAACCTGCATAAAGCCTACAATTTTTCGGCACCAAACAGATATACATCTATGCAACTGCAAACCTCCTATCAAGTTATACATCAAAGCAACCACAAATCCTAAAAACGCATAGCATAAGAGGCACAAAGTATGTTAAGGTCCTTTTTATGTGTGTTGGGTATGCATGAACAAGAAAGATATGCTGAAACAAACACAACAGAAGTGTTCAAACTAGTGTACGAAGTCCTATCAGAAGCACTCAACAAGCATAATTAAGCGTGTTATCGGTGTGAAACTCCACTTGGTGTGTATTTTGGTTGGGTGTCTCATATTTCTCACTCGCTATTCCACAGACTTTGCACAAGCAATCTTTGCAAAATATTTGACCATTATTGCCCAACCATGTGCATCAAAATGGATATATATCTACATATTTTGCAAAATGGGTATTAAAGTGGGTTTTAAATACATTTAAGGTGTGCTGCAAATAAAATAAAAATGAGTTTAGAGCATGAGCATCGGCAGAGGGTGCTGCTACAGGTAGTTGCTTTCATTCTTTCGACGTAACAAGGTGTCTGGCTCTCATTCCTGTATTTTCGTTATATGGTGGTTCATAAATAAGTTTGAGATTTTTAGGTGTGGAGCGACCCGATAACACCACCATGATTACCTTGTTATGTGCATACACACACACGCACAGTTCACCAAACATGATCGCGGCCTTCAATAGACCATCTTACAATAGACTAATGAGAAAATGCAGACATGGGTAGCTGTTAGGTTCTGTTGGCACAACGACCAAATTTTTTATTTTCGGAGTGTAAGAGGTGTCTCGTGAACCCTCCTTGAAGAACGACACCACTAGAGCACAACTGCACTTAAACCAGAACACATAACACCTAAAATGACAGAAGATAACAGTGTAGAAATACAGTTGACTCTCGTTAATACGAAGTTCATGGGGACCGCGAAAAACTTCGAATTAAGTGGAATTCCAATTAACCACAATGAACGAAAAATACATTTATTTCAAAGCAGTTTATGAGAAAAAATTTGTGATTGCCATTTGCTTCTGTTTGCTGAATCTTGTAGCAGAAAGCAAGTCCTGCAGGCTGTATATGTGCCCAAGTGCTTCCTCGGCGTTGCTCTCAGCAGTGAAAAACTGTGCGCTAGGGCAAGGCCTGCGGCTACATCAGCAGCCCGCTGTAGTGGCTCACTTGCGGCGGCGTCATCGTCAACCTCAGTTTCGTGACTAGGCTCGCTGGGCCGAACCATCTCTACGATCTCAGCGTCCGACAGTGAGCCGCACGTTTTTACCGAATTGTCAGTGGCAATGTACTCCTCGAAAGGGACGTCGTCGAGAGCTGGCAGGAGACCATCAACGTCAAGGTCACTTGTGTCTTCCCCCACTGTACAAGACGCGTCATCATCTCCACCACTTGGAATGAAGCCGCACGTCCTAAAGCAGTTCGCAATAATTTCATCCTTTACGCGACCCCACGCTCGTGCCAGCATATGGATAGCACTGAGAAGGCTCACCTCATACTGATTTGCATTGTCCATACACAACAGCATCCGCTCAAGATGCTTCCTGTGCAGTACTTTCACGTTTTTGATGATCCCCTGGTCCAGTAGTTGTAACACCGATGTAGTGTTCGCTGGCAGGTAGGCGACATGTATTGCACTCAAGGGTGGCACATTCACGTGTGCACTGCATTGGTCCACAAGGAGCCATACATTGCATTTAGATAACGCGAACTCGCGATCCAATTTTGTCAGCCAATCCTTGAACAGGTCTGCGGTCATCCTACGCTTTCTTGTTAGACGCGTAGTCGACACACAGCGTTTTCACGCCCTTGAAACATCTAGGCTTAGCAGCTTTGCCTATCACGAGCAGGCGACATCGCTCACTGCCCGTCATGTTCGCCGCTATCAGCACCGACACTCTTCTTTGCTACGCTTCCCTCCAGCACAGTCATCGTCCTTAAAGGTCAGCATCTTCTCGGGCAACATTCTGTAAAAAAGTGCTGTCTCGTCGGCATTGAAGATATCTTCCGGCCGAATATACTCCCAAGTATTTGCGAAGCTGCTTTTCCCTCCACTTATCACAAATTTCAACGTTGACAGCAGCCTTTTCCCCCTTAACGCTTTTAAGCACCATATCGTGGCGCTGCTTGAACCGTGTGAGCCACCCATCGGACGAAGCAAAGTTCTCGATGCATAGCGTAATCGCAAGCGATGACACTTTTGCTGCAACGATATCGCCGCTGAAAGGAAGTCTGTTGCTTCGAGCCTCTTGAATCCAGATGAGCAGCGCTTGCTCTCACTCCGGGTGGGCGCCGGTGCTCATTCTCTTGCGAGACATCTTGAACTGGTCATTTTCGAATGTGTCCAGTACCGAGCGCTTGTTCTTCAGGATGTTACACAGGGTATTAGGCTTGATGCCGTATTTCTGTGCAATATCTTCCTTGGCAGTGCCTCCTTGCTTAACTTCTTTCAAAATTCTGACTTTCGTCGCCAAGTCAAGCGTCTGATAAGGCCCGCGAGTTGGCATAGTAAATGTATGTGGAGCTTCGTCAGACATGGAAACGCTCCGTAACGAGATCAACAATGAGGCCCGGAATCGGAACCGCCGGAGCAGCCACTTCGTGATCTGGAGCGCTGAATGCAACTGCGATGCCATCAGCTGACGCTTTGAGCTGCGGCGCTGTGGTCAACTGCGATTCCCTTGGGTGCCGGTCGGACATGCATTGTTGTTTAGCAATTCGAAAATAAGAAATTTAACAAACATTACGATTTCCTCCAGGAATTTGATTGAAAATAAATATGAAATAACTGAAATTTCAGACCTCTAGCTTTCAATTACCGAGAATTTCTTCCTGTTAAACTGCATGCAAAAGTTACGGGACCCCTCTCCACTTCCAATTAACCGATAATTCAAATTAAGTGACTTCGAATTATCGGGAGTCAACTGTAATTACCTCTACATTTGAAGATAAGTCACGAAGAAAGGCATAAGCTACATGTCTAGTATTAGACAGTTGTGCACTACTCTATTCCTAACATACTGTTATGTGCAGAGAGAAGGGATGACACAGGAGCTGATCCCACGAAGGTCAATAATGAAGAAGATGCCTTAAAGCGAAGCAGAGCAGCCAATAAAGGGTACCATAGCAGTTAGTGTCTAGCGGCTCGAGGATTTGTCATATAAGGCAACCTCCCAGAGATCGGGCTATAGATGCCAGCACCACACCCGCGCAAGTGGGGTTAGGCGTTAGGCAGCGCATATACAAATACTCAACAGCCGTGCTTCGTTCAGTGACTCAGGGGCTAACACTATACTGCATTTACCACATGTACGCACATGTTCTCGCACCAGTAAAAATATAAAAATCTTAATCAGCAGAAAGCTTTCATCGATGTGCATGACAGGGCTACAACAAAAGCTTGATTAATGAGACAAGCGTGTTTTTTTTTTCAGACAAAAATTACCACTGCCTTCAGTCAGTCACTAACAATGCCACATAAACGCTGAAGACAGTGTAACCAAGATGAAATTTTCAGTTAGGTTGCACGACATTATATATAAGGCATGTCGTCTGAACTATTTCCTATGTGTAGCTTCTTCAAAGAGTTCTTGAATCTAAGCAGACGCTTGGACGCGGTAACGCTGTTTTTAGTACAGTTTAAGTACTGATGTGTCACTGTTTATGCTGTAGTAATATTTCTATGTAGCGGTACCACGGCCAGATAAATACAACTAAGGCTTCTAGCACGATCAATAAACTATAGTGCTGTAGAAACAGGTTGCCGGAGAACTATGGGCCTGCTGATGGCCGTCCAAATGTGTGCTCCCGACACAGGAAATGGGGCGCTATGCAGCCCCACGAGGCAAGGAGTTCGACAAAAACTTCTGCAATGGTTCTCGGCTTCCCGGCCACACCCCCCTGCTTGAGGAGAGTGGTGTCCGGGTAGATGACAACCAGCTTCGATAATTGAGCG